ATTTTCAGTTTGTTGTAATGTTGTTGTTCCTATTCGATTATGAAAGTATTGACGAATAAACGTTGGAACTAGAGCAAGGAATAATTCACGTCGAAAGCTCGGTGCTGTTAATGTATAAACAAGAAATGAAATCTAAATGAAAGCAAAAAAAAAATCCGAACTTCGCTCTTCTAACACTTACTGCATTATATAAATAAAGAAAAAAATTTGCACTAAATGAAAGAGCAAATGTTTCAATTGCATTACGTGTGGCCGATTTGTTTGATGGTAGAATATTCTGTGTCAATACATTGTAAATCATCACAGTAACATAAGGCCATGTTGTTGTGATGTATAAAGTAATCTGACCTATTAACATTGCTACAAGTTGTCTGTCTTTACTATGAATTTGGATCTAAAAGAACACATTTTGAAACCAATTCAAATAGACATAAATTCATTACGCGAATATTTGCAATTTGACGAGAATTTTGTTTTAAACTATGTATTGTTAAACTCCCAAGTGTCAACATTAAAGAAGGTGGTACGATAGCCCATATTGTTAATTTATAACTAACATCAAAAATAAGGAAATCAATATCAATAATACATAAATTTGAAACAGCCGATAATCGGTTGTATTTCAATGGTATATAGAGTGGTAAAATGGCGCAGATAATGATAGTTATAACAATCATTTTATAAGCAATTCGAACGTGACATAAACGTCGTCGATTGGCGTTTCGTGAACAAAGCAGAAGTCGATCGCCACAAGCAAGAAGAAGAAAAGCAACACTGGCATGACAAAACATTGTAATAAAATATATACGGATTTTACAAAATAAAATTGATCTCGCTGGTAAGCGGTAACCTGACCAATTTCCAACTGCATATGTAAATGGAGACCAAAATAATACACATAAATTTGCCCAAGAACTAGCATGAAAATAAGTTGCACAGGAATTTGAACTTAATGATGGCCGTGAAAATGTTATTGTATTTAATGTCCAACCAATTATACCAACAAAGAAAAGTATAGGTATGCATACTTGATTAACAGTCCAACTAGCAGTATTGAACTGAATAGCAAGCCAATCAGTAGCGGTGTTTGACATTTTTTAATTATAAAAAGATAGAATCTCTGATGAATAGTAAAATTGTCAGTATTTATACTCAGATAAAAATAAATAAGCTTTCACTCACAGAAAATGATAAAATGCGTAATAATGTAATATTTGTAATTGACTGAATATAGAACTATCACAAGCAGAAGTTTAGGCGTTTCAATTCAAGAGTAAAAGTAAAAAATTATGTTAAATTGAGATCTGTCAAGAGCAGTCATCCAATTTTGCTATGTTGAATATTACAAAATAAGCTTCATCTGATTTCCGGAGCTTGATCCACTTCGCTAAGCTCTCAGATTTCGAATGTTGCTGGAGTTTTCAGATTTTATTGAAACTGATTCCCTGGTCAGAATTATTTCCGCAACGTTCAACATTGCGAAATAGGATATATTCTATGTGTGAAGAACATTCTTTATCAAACGGATCAGCATATAACCATAGAGTTTAATCTTCTGACAGCTCAAGCATGACACTTTTTACTATTCTGTTGATTTTATTGAGATTATCTTCCTACAGGGGAATACCCCTCTGCTCCGAGGAATTTTTACTGAGGCTTTCTCCAATTTTGGAGAAACCTAGTGAACAATTTTCTCCGATTTTGCGATTGGTCCCCTCCCTCATCTCACATCTTCGCGCTGCCCTTGCCTTCCTAACAAGATGACTGAAATATCAAGACAATATTGTTACTTGTATTCACATTTTGTTCTCTTCCGTTTTGGTTTCTATTGATTGATTATTTGTTTTTGGATATTATTTTTTTTTAAATAATATTTATTTATTGTGACATTTCGTTGTAGTTCACAAACTCGTCAGAGATTAATCTTGTAAATTATGAGTCACATATATACATTTTTTTTAGAGAGAAAATATATAAATTGACTAGTCTATTCGTTTTTCGTGTGATGTTCTTTTATTCTACTTAATAGTGATACGGAACAAGACGGTGCTACTTTTGTTCTGGATTGATTCATTTCCGTATCACTACTAAGTAGAATAAAAGAACATCACACGAAAAACGAATGGACTAGTCAATTCATATATTTTATCTCTGAAAACCAATGTATGTATGTAACTCATAATTTACAAAATTAATCTCTGACGAGTTTGTGAACTACAACGAAACGTCACAATAAACAAATAATCAATCAATCAAAACCAAAACAGAAGAGAACAAAACATGAATGCAAGAATGCAATATATGATATTTACAAATCGAAGTATACTTAATTGCAACAATTTAGTATTATTTAATAGTTTCTCTTCCCATTATTTTTGTTCTTAATGTTATTGTGTATATTCTTTTTAAGAGATATATTTAATGTTAATTTAATTTTAACTATAAAGGATGAAATAAAATATAATAAAATAAATTAAAATAATTGAAAAACGCTTCAGAGATCTGCTCTCTCCTTCGTCAGTTTAGATGTTATTTATTAAGGTAGATAAAATTTTTCTTTTTATATTTTCATGTCTGCCTATACATTTTTTTAAAATTTTTCTATTCTGTTTGTTCATAGTGAAACGAACAATAAGAAATACCTAACCTTATCGTTCTGTATACCCGTCTTGTAGTAGTAGTGTAATGCTTTATTTAATACTATGAGCGAACTTCGCTCCTGTAGTGCGAAAGAAAACCAGAAGAAAGAGCATAAAAAAGCTAGTTTTTTTTTATAACAAACGCTGAGAAGAGTTTATCAAGAATTTGTGTCTATGCAGATGGACGACGACGAACATAAAAGAATATTGTTTGTAGGCAATCTATCTTTTGATTTCATATTTTAGCAATATCCAAAGGTGTCGTCGAACAGAGATGAGCGATTGTCCAGTATATGAGTTTGTGTATATTTTTGGGTATTCTTCCTCTTCCAAAGATTCCTTTTCTTTCATGCGTCAGTCTAGGATTTGTCCTATATTCTTTCAGTTAAAGGATGATAACTTGTGTTGTAGGAAATCTTCAATGATAGTTGGATTTGTTTCGAGTATCATACGTGAAAGTTTATCCCAGTGTTAATGTGTTAACTGAAAAATAGTCTGATATTTCGGAAGGCTTTCAATTTTCACATTTCTAGCATCAAACTCTTGGTATATAGTTCTAAAGATTTGACGGTTGGAACTTTCTAATTGCTTTTGCGGTGTTTGCTTTGAAATCGGAGAGATGTTCAGTACATTGTGTAGGTACGGTCTGATGTATGCATTATCTAATTTAAAATTATCCATTGCACTTGTCATACGACTAGCGGCTGATCTTCTAAATATATTTCAGTGTGTACGTATTTTAGTTTTTATGTAATCAATGTGGTATGAAAATGACAATCGTGCATCTAGTACAGTACCCAAATATTTGAACTTTGTCACTTGTACGATGTCATACCCGTTGCACGAGATGCTAGCTATTTGAGATTTGACTTGACGGTGGAAAAGAGTCCAATATGTTTTGCTGAAATTTATAGGTTGCTTCCAGGTGTTCGAGTAACTAATAATACGAGAGAGTACTTGTTTTATTTCATCGGCCAGTACATTAATCATATTTTGAGAAGACATTCCTGGAGATGGTGAAATAACGATTGCCAAGTCGTCTGCAAATAGATGTTTCCAATGTAGAGTATCTAAGGCAGCTAGGATACCCTAATGATAAACTATAAATAGCACTGGTCCGATGCAGCTTCCTTCGCTTCAGATAATTTCGCAGTCATGACATTAAGGATAGCGGACAATTTAGGTTCTTTAACTTTAACCATCATCCATTGAACCAAAGTTGATTGAATGGTATACGAAAATCGACAAAACGAGCTGTAGCTGCGGTATTTTCTGCCAGGCTCTAGTCAATCTGATCTACGATGGCGACTAGTCGAACGGCCATGTTATGACCGGGACGAAAGCCACTTTGTTCAGGTGGTAGGATGCCATTTGCATTTATCCATTGGCGGAATTTTATTTAGGAAACATTGTTGATAAACATTTGAGAAGCATGGAAGTAAAGAGATAGGTAGTATGCCTTCAACTGAAATGATTTTTGTCTTAGTTTTTGATAACAGAATTATTTTCGCAGTATACCAATGCCCTAGCGTTTGTAATGTGATCACAAATTTGTTTAAGCAAAACATGACTATTGAAAGATGACTTCGCGGAAGTGACGTGATTATTCTATTTGACACTTTATCTAAATCAGTAGAATTTTTATTTTTCAAGGAAGCAATTGATCGTCAAAGATGCTGATACGTGATGGTGATAGGTTTAGGCGGTTCATCTCACAGAATACTTTCTATTTCAGCATCTGTGATATTAGCTATATGATCTGTATCCACCTGTATGTTGTGATGTGAGTGAAATTATTCTTCGTAATAGGATTTGACAATATCGCACATTTTTGAAGGTGTGGATACTATGTTACTATTGTGTAAAAATCCTTCTATAGGAGCGAATCTACAGTTGAAATGCCGCTTTGCTTCTTTCCAGAAAGCTTGAGTGTTGCACGTGTTAAATGAATCACACTAGTTTTGCCACGTTCTTCTTTTGTGCATAAATAATTCTTTTCGAGTAATTTTTGATATATTGCGTAATAGGACCACAAACTGTGGACTACGAGTTCGTCGAAATAATTCTAGATAAAGGCGTTTTTGTTTCATCATTGCTACTATGTGTGGGAGTAGAGATGGTTTAATCGTTTCTCGACAAGTGACGGTTGTAAGATGCGATACGCATCATGAAAGGAAGCGTTCTTATTAGGTGAAAAAATCCGTGGAATGAGACATTGAAACAGCTAATGATTGCCAATAGGTCGCCGTAAACGTGAGAAGAATTTCAAACAGATTTTTACGTGTACGTAGAATTAGGTAGCGCAGATGAGTGGATGCTATTTTGCATGATGGATGCCATACAACCGGATGATGATCATTCCCGATGCTAGGCAAGACTGAAAACGATTTCGATATTAATTGTGCGGGTGCTAAAATAAGGTCAATTGTTGCATTTGACAGAGTTGAAGTGGGTGTGGTTGCAGTGCATCTCTTGACCCACACCCACCCCACACCCACACCCACACCCACACCCACACCCACACCCACACCCACACCCACACTCATACCCTAAATTAGCTAGTTCAACAAATTAGATCATGCTTTAGAAATATATTCTGTAGCATTATCTAGCTGTTTTTACTTAATTATCGTACATTTTCGTTACTAAAAATATCAGCACATATAATTAATGTCATTTGACTTTTAACTAATCATCAATGATAAGAGAAGAAAAGAAGAGAACACAATATTAAAAAAAGCATCATAAAAACCGAGACGATTACAATGGACATCTGTTGAGAATTTTCTTCATATTACAGCCAATATGGGTGAACCATGGACGTGGACTCATGTTTGGTTCACGCCAAGTTTGGCTCACTTCTGACGACCCGCGACATCTAACAAATGTTATAATTATAGTATGACTCATGTATCTAACGAACATGTGGATTTTACAATTATTTCTAATGCCAAATTCGAATAGTTAGTTTTTTTTCAATATAAAAGAAAATCTTAAGTTTTCCATTACTCTATAGATAGAGAGAAAATGTTGATATATATATAAAATGACAAAATGAAATTTTTCATCGAATAATATCTGAATCATATCTGTCCATAATTAATTGATGTATATATCGTAGTTTTTGTGCATTCTTTAACTGCTTCACTGTTAATCAAAGTAGTACAGTCTAGAAATTAACTCTTGATCAGTTGGTGTGGACTGAATTGACAAGGGAATCCATCCAACTGGTAACTTCTGTTAAACCTCATATTTTGCTCATATATAGAGATTGTAGTTATAGATGGAAACCTGTTAAGTGTTCATAACATCGCCTCTATATTTCAGAGAAACAAAGATAACAAGTTTCTATAGTAATGGTATTATTATCAGCTATGTCAAAATGATTGCAAAATTTTCTTAATTTGCACATATTTCAACTTAGAATAATGATAAAATTTTGATTTTTTTTCTAA